TGCACTTGTGACACTTGACCTACAGGTGTCCATGGATTCTTTTCTGGTGGGTTGCGTTACGATCCTGCATAGCTTTAGTTATAAGCATAACGGCAGACTGGTCTATGTTAGACCTTGCAATAGGGATTTAAATGTGACTCTTATAACCTTTCACTGAGTCATCAGGGTCATTTCATCCGTCATTTTTTTGTATTATCAGGGAATTGTGATTGTCAAGTGCTGTACATGCGCCTGCGCCTTATCGTGACCCTTCATTTCGACAAGACTCTTCAACCCATGAGACAATTCAATGGAAAAATATCATGGTAATTACCCTTTCAGACTATTTCAAAGGAAGATAAATAGTTGTTTTCAATAACTTTTTATAAATGTTGATTGATTTTTCTGCAAAAAAGAAACTAAACTTAATAAGAAGTTTACATTCGGTATTTATATAAGTTCAGAGCAAATAAAAAGTAATAATTGAAAATAACGCCAAAACATTTGAATGATTAAAGTGTTCTCCGATCCGAAAGATCTCCGATCGGCTCGATGCCTTGGCGTTACGTAGAGAATAGAGATGTTGCTTCACTCTGCCTGCTCTATCCAATATATCATGGAGAGTGAAAAATAAACAAACTCCGGTAGAGCCGGCCCAAATATGTTGTAACGGTAAAAAAAATGTTTGAGTTGTTTTCTCTCCATATTTCATTTATAATTGGTTCTTTACAAATTTACTTTTGAATCCAACCTTAACGTATATTGAAAAATAAGCATTGTTTGTTTTGAAAGTTGTGTACAGTTGTTAATGGACTTCAGGTTCGATCACCGTTTATTATTAAGTTACTCTTTGTATATCTTGTTTTGTATCTGTACCCATTGAATAAAATAAAATAAATAAAATGTCATATTTCGAATCGTATAATCTGATTTTAAACTATACTCGTATATAAATCTGAATTGCTGTATACCTGTCTGTTTAAGATTGGCTTGTCAGTGGACCACTGTTCCCATTAGTCATTGCCGATACGTAATAATTTATTCAAACTTAGCGATCACGTAGCGACGTTTTGATAAACGATGATGACGAACGATGGTGTCTGAATGTCACATTCATTTCCGAACAGTTAAATTTTATGGTCATCATAAGAAAACTAATTTATTGACGATGAATTATCGTAATCGGACCTTAAATTTAGTCGTTTTTAAATCATTTTCATTTTATAGCATTTTTTTTTAAATTGGATTTTCTATACCCCTTCATAAAAATATTAAGTATTTCAGGTATAATATATTATAGATAACTTGGTATCCGTGTTGGTAACTAAGGGAGCAAACTACTCAGGACAACAGCACTGCAAAGAGAAGGAAAAGTTGACACAAACCCTATACCAACCCGTCTGGCCAGCGTGGTATAGTAAGAAAAAACCTCATTTTTAACGAGAGGCCTATGTCCAGCAGTGGACTAATTAAGGCTGTTGATGATGATGAGAAAACTTCTCTCTGGCGATAATTATATTTTGAGTGCAGTACGTAGAATCTTGGTATGAGGTACAATACTTCACGTCAGAAAACAAAACTCTTCAATTACTTTATCTATAAGATAAACATTATAAAAGCAATGTAATATTACGCAATACAAGCCCGATTCAATCATTCGTCATGGCTCACCTTCATGCATTTATTCTTTCTTTGGTTTAATCGCGACATGTCTATCCTGCCAGTTGTCAGCAGTGTGTGACTCTGTATCACAGTGAGTGTTCAAACTTAGAAGCAAATATTAAATCGAATAACAATTTAATTGATCCGAAGAATAATTTAAGTCATGTGGCAACACCACATGTGTTTTCATATACTACAAAGGGAATTATCACATATTTTACCAATACTATCCCTATAAAAGTACGTGGGAACTTTGCATTGGGGACACTCGACCAGTCCAAATTTGGTTGACTGGAAAACTGAAATTACAGCCCTGATTCCTGACAACGATTGGTATTTCTCCAGAAGTGCTATAGTGTTAGGCAAAACATTTGTGCTAAAGTATTCAAATTAGCATTCAAATGGAACAGTTGACGAGTCTCCATACTCGGCTTTTAGCGATAATGGTGTAAATTTCATTAAATATTCGGGCAACCCAGTGCTGAAATTTTCAGACAGCGGGACAGCAAAAGACTTTTGTGTGTTACGTAAAACTAGGGCAGAGTATTGTTGTACAAGTCTCCGGACCTGCTCACGTGGACATATATCTAATACTCGCTGAATCTAATAGCATAAATCAGAAGGGCTATATGTTGGAGTGTCCCAACTTCTTCGTGCTAGAAGGAAAATTTGTCTTAATGATGTCCTCACAAGGTATGAATGCAACCGGCAGATACAAAAACTTGTTTCAGACAGGATACATACTGGGCAGCTTCGGTTATAAAACTCTAAGTTTACTGCGGGAACTAATTTTCAAGAGATTGATTTCGGCCATGATTTTTACGCGACACAGTCCACAAAAACAATGGAAGCCGTAATTTAATTGCTTAGTTTGGAATGTGGCAAGATTTTGGTTCGAATACGACACTCATCGAGTATACCTATCAGACAATCTATCTGACAATACTCAGAAATTTGATATTAAAGAATAATCGTATTGTGATGAAACCTGTCGATGATATGGTGGAACTTAGAGAGGGACCTGTGTTTAATGAAACACTGGAAATGAAAAATGAAATTACTGCACTGACTCAAACAGGAGAATGAATTGTCAGCGTTAATTGGAGCCAAATAGTTGAGCGGCAGTTGTCAGGTCGCGACGGTGGAGAAATCGTCACATTAAAGTTTGACCTGGAAACAGAAACAGACACTGATGGAGACAGACAGACACACAGAAAACAGAACTGATGGTGAACTGGAAACCTGTTGAGTCTAGTTCTTGGAGGATCTTCCTGGATAGTTGAGACAAAGTGTTGCGTAAAATTGTAAAAAGTTGTAATATTATTTAATTATATTTTTATCATTAAAATTGATTTCCGAAATGTATTTTATATTTTGCTAATTTTATTTGATTCCTATATAAAACATGTCAAAAGGATATACGGTTTTACTCACCTACAAACTTACCTCAAGCTTAAGCCCCATATTATGAAAGGAATTAAAATATTTTTCAATGGCTTAGTTGACAGTTTTTCTTCAGATGATCCTTTGTGTTTATGTCACCACTTTAATAGTTTACAAAACAAAAACGCATAGAGAAATGTATGAAAGGAGAATGTTATTCATCAGTCAGTGTATTACAGGTACTTGGATTGTGCTGTGGCTTTTAGATCACACTTGTGACCACGGTCGGTGCGGTGCGATAGACACGTAGGGTAAACAAAACAAATGGACCGTATAATTATTTTCGTGTGTAAGTCTTGATTTACACATCTGCTATTAGTTCAATGTTATACATCATGATACGTGAAAGTTTAAAAGTGAATAGGACTATAATTTTAATATTACTTACGTAGGATACACTTCAGGAATTAAATTTGAAAGTAGGAATTAGAGTCCGTGCTTCTGCTAGGTTTGTTCACTAAGGGGACTATATAGCTACTGATGACGTTGTTGTACAGCGATACAGCAAATAGTTTTCCCTATATAAAGATCAATAAAGATCTAAACTAATACTTAAAACTATCTAAACTTTCCGTGTGGTGACGGATTAAGAATACAGTGTCATTACCCCTGTTCATCCCGTGGGTGCCGTAAGAGGCGGCTAAGGGAGCGAAATACGCAGGACACCAGCACTGCAGAGAGTAGGAAAACTTGACACAAACCCTATACCAACCCGTCTGGCCAGCGTGGTATAGTAGGCCAAAACCTCCTTTCTAAGGAGAGGCCAGCAGTGGACTGTTAAAGGCTGTTGATGATGATGATGATGATTACTTAAAAGGAGTGAATGCACGATATTCCGTCAAACAGCTACTACAAATAACTTATTTCAAAAGTCCAGTAATAAACATGGGGTAGCATTTTTGGCAAAATGGTAATTGCTACTAGGATACTATGGTGCTATAATAAGGATGGTGTTTCGAGTGACTTCTCAACTTTATAGAGGAGTACGTGTGACCCCCCTGATAACGTATAGCAAGATAATGGTCGATGCGAAATAAGATCTATGATATTTTAACAAACTTTTTGACGTTTGAAATCCGTATATCATAGCTTCATCTAGCCTGATAAGATGATATATCAGACAATCGGTCACGAACAAAAAAATGGGACTTATTTATCGATTTCAAAAAATATATGTGGGCGTCTTTGACCGCTCTAATTAAGCCGTATTCCAGAGTTTTTTGGAACTTTTTAAAAACTGTTATACGGTAGTAATTATACGAGTATATTTCGTTAAAAGCAATATACATCAACTCTAACACATCACTGATACTGTTATGAAATGCTAAATTTTAAATGCGTTTCTCTCTTTGAGTCTGATTCCTGTGGTAGGTTACAACCTGTGTTACAGGAAACAGTGTCTTTACCCATTTTGTTGTATCAACTATACAATAAGAATACAGTTAAGAGTGTGTTTGTGTGTGTGTATCTATGCGTGTGTGTGTGTGTGTGTGTGTGTGTGTGTGATGGGCGTACTCATTGTATCAAGTTTTCGGTTTGTGTGTAGTCGGTCGTTAGGAGCCATGATTTTCTATCAAGGTCTCTTCCCTCCGCTTAGATCACCCAACTTAAACCTGATGACTCGCGAATGTCTGCCACCATTATAAGTTGTAGTTTTTACAAAAGACAACGCGGAAAAGACGGATTAAAAAAAAAGTTAGTTATATAAAGTGGCAACGATAATAGAAATCGGTTTATAAGACAGAAACTGAATTCAGGAATAGAAATTGGCAGTTATATATCTTATCCTCTGCATAAAAATCTCAAAGATTATTTGTTTGTATTTCAAAACAAAGCACTTGAATTTGTACTATCTTATCAAATATAACTTAAGGTATATAATACGGAAGATCACACAAAAATATGTCAGTGTCACGATGGCTTTCCTAAAAATATTAGTATTTTTGTGTTTATTTGCAACTGTGCATCTACGAGTACCTAAAAGGATTAATACCGAATTAGAAGCCTATATCGAAGAAAAGAAAGCAGAAATTAATCCAAGATACAAACTACATTATCATGTGACGCCACCCGTGGGATGGATGAACGATCCCAATGGTTTCTCGTTCTTCAATGGCGAGTACCACGTGTTCTATCAATTTTATCCTTATGATAGCCAGTGGGGCCCCATGCACTGGGGACATGCCTCGAGCCCTGACCTAGTAAACTGGGAGCAACTACCAACGGCTTTAGTACCTGATGAGGAGATGTGTTTCTCTGGAAGTGCTATCGTTAAAGATGACCAATTAGTACTTATGTACACGGGTCGTGTAAATACTGAAGTAGATCCTTTCTTCTACGAATCTCAATATTTGGCTTTCAGTGATGATGGGATTAATTTTGAAAAGTATGAAGGCAATCCAGTCCTGCCTGTGGCTCTAGATGGCTCGCCAGATTTCCGTGATCCTAAGGTTTGGAAGCATGGAGATTACTGGTATGTAGTTATTGGTAGTAAAACTCCAGACGATAGAGGTCGCGTGCTACTGTATAGATCTCCCGACATGATATCTTGGGACTTTTTAAACGTGCTTGGAGAATCAACTGGTAATATGGGATACATGTGGGAATGTCCTGACTTTTTTGAGATGAATGGAAGACATATACTTTTAATGTCTCCACAAGGCATGGAACCTGTAGGTGACAGGTACAAAAATCTTCACCAGACGGGATACATTATTGGGACTTTCGATTATGAAACATTTGAATTCGTACCTGAAGTTGACTTTCAAGAAATTGATTTTGGTCATGATTTTTACGCGACGCAAACTACTGAGAATGACGGGAAGAGGATTCTTATTGCTTGGTTTGGTATGTGGGAGACTCCTTTCCCTGAAGCTGTTGATGGTTGGGCAGGAGCTATGACAATATTCAGAGAACTAGTGTTACATGATGATCGACTTCTTATGAAGCCTGTTGATGCAATGACGTCACTCAGAGAAGAAACTGTTTGGGATGGAAAATTTGAAGAAGGTGAAAAAATATCTTTTGATAAAACTTTGGAATTGATTGTTACTAGCGACTTAAACCAGAAAATCAATATTCAGATAACGGGTAGTAACGGTGGAGATCAGATTTTATTACAATGGGATCCGGATGTGCGTAAAGTTGTGGTAGACAGAGATGGAGATATAAGACAAGTTGAATGGTCTCCAATTGATTCAAAATCGATGAGAATCTTTTTGGATGCCAGTTCCATGGAGCTGTTTTGTGGGGAAGGTGAAGTTGTGTTCAGTAGCAGAATATTTCCTAATGGAGAATGGCTTGTCACTAATCTGAGTCCTCAATCCGTCGATGTTGTGGCCTATAAATTGAGAAGAAGTGTTCCGGAATAATTATTTGTAAATTATTACTCTCGTTTGTTTTAGAGGTTCATCACTGTTCATCATGTAATGGATTTTTATTCAATTGGAATTAATTTAATCTTTTAAGTTATTTTTTGAATTTTGTTCGTTCATTATATTTTAAATGTGTGTTCCTATTGTACATTAAATATAATAATGCGACCTTATCGATTTGTGTTTTTAATTCAGCAATTTCTTTAGTAGGTATATATTTTAAATTTATTAGGATAAATATAATGCTGCAGGTAAGCGTGGTTTGAGCGGCTACCTCGCTGCTTCCTACTGTATTGAGTGTTTGGGTTTTGGTCCCCACATGGGATAACACTTTGTGTGATCCACAAATTGTTGTTCTGACGCTGGGTGTTCTTTGTGTCCGTTTCATAAATATTTGTAAAGTCCCCCGCGACACGGGATATATTCCTAATGCTGGAGTGCCTTTATTTTTAATGAAGAAGAAAAAAGTAAGGTGAACTATGTGTGAAGTCACTGTAGGATAAAGGCATCCGATTCGGATCCAGAGCCAGATTGCCCAATCATCGTTGCGAATAGACGTGCTATAATAACAATTGTAAATTTACATTTCTAGAAATATTGGCCTATTTTTGGGGCTCACATATGTAAGCACATTAATGCTGCAGTTATTAATAATTTAATTATTCTTTACAACGACAATGAACATCAAAAATTAAGTGCATGAGTGACTATGAGTAGCAGCTCCTTTAAATGACCTGGACCGGAGCCCTAAAAAAAAATGGAAATAGTATTAACCCCAGAAATACAGGGCTGGATGGGATCTATTGAGCAGTGCTTGAAGTTTGTACTATTGGAGCTGAAGTCAAGCTGAACGAAAAGATAAAAATAAATAACATTTGTCGTAAAGTAAAAAACGGAGTTGCCCAAATGGCTGTTCATTATCAGCCACTCAAGCGAAAAAACCTTCAAGCGCATAGTTCTTTACAACACGCAGCTGAAATAGAAGTACTTATGGATTCCCTAACGCAGATCAAGCAGGCCATCCAGGAATCGAATGTAAAGCAGGTACCAGCCAGCGCATCTTTTGCTGATATGGTAAAGAAAGGATCTAGCAACAATCCAGGAATCGAATGTAAAGCAGGTACCAGCCAGCGCATCTTTTGCTGATATGGTAAAGAAAAGATCCAGCAACAATCCAGGAATTGAATGTAAAGCAGCTACCAGCCAGCGCATCTTTTGCTGATATGGTAAAGAAAGGATCCAGCAACAATCCAGGAATCGAATGTAAAGCAGGTACCAGACAGCGCATCTTTTGCTGATATGGTAAAGAAAGGATCCAGCAACAATCCAGGAATCGAATGTAAAGCAGGTACTAGCCAGCGCATCTTTTGATGATATGGTAAAGAAAGAATCCAGCAACTTTGTCCGTCTAATACTAATACTTTGCCACTTCTGTCAGCTAACAGGGTTAATAATTATTTCGTAAACGTATACTCGTATAAAATTCTTGCCGAATGCACTCGGCGACAAGCTTGTAACCATACCACGACGCTTCTCCAAAAAGCAAGTGTTAACCCTAGTCTAAAGTCATTTGTCAAGCTGAACACTGATGAGGGCGAAATAGAGTGAATCATCTTAGGTATGGGTGATGATTTTGCTTTCGGCTGGGATAATACAAGTACTAAAATTCTTAAACGTTTCAAGCATATTCTTCTACCTCCGCTATTGTATATTTTCCGCCTCTGCCTCTCTGAAGGGTTTTTTCTACATGCCCGAAGAAGCGGTAGTTATTCCTGTTTTCAAAACTAGAAGCAAAGATCTAGCCAGCAACTATAGACCTATATCGATTCTCCCCTCATTATCAAAAATGTTAGAAAAAAATATAAACACTAGGTTAGTTAAATACCTAGAACATAATAATTTTCTCTAGCCAGCACAATATGTTTTTAGATATAAATACGAGTATCCACAGCTGACGCGGTTCATGACTTAACTAATTTTATTACTATTGAACTCGGCAAAGCTAATCAGACCTTAGGGATCTTTCTAGACCTCGTCAAAGCATTTGACACTATATCCATTTCTTCATTGTTAAACAAATTGGAGGCTCTTGGTATAAGAGATACGCAGCTTAAACTTTTCGCAGCCTATTTAAGCAATCGGCGCCAATGTGTTAAAATAGGAAATGTCGTGAAAGAAAAATACCCGATTTTGGCATTTATCTCAGGAACGCGTGGAGGTATCGAGTTGAAATTAAAAATATGTAAACAGTACTCAGGCCTACAGTCTTTTAAAGCTCTGAAAAAATCAAACCTCTAAGTTAACGTAAAAAAAAGATACGACTGATTTTGGCGCAAAAAACGTATATTTCAACACTGTCAAATAAATCAAAATTCAGGGTACCGTTGATCTAGAACCATGAAATTTGGCAATTAAAATCGTCTATACTACAAGTACAGGGAAAAATCTAAAAACTATACATCTATACAAATAAATAAAATTGGAGTGTCTGTTTGTAATATTAAAATAACCGCTTTTTACTAAATGCATATGTATGTTTACACGGTACATATGCCAAAATAACATTTTTTACAATTTTTGTTTGTCTGTCTGTTTGTTCCCGGTAATTTCTGGAACGGCTAGACCGATTTCGACGGGACTTTCACTGGCAGATAGCTGATGACATAAGGAGTAACTTAGGCTATTTTTTTTAGACTAGCTTCGAACCGCTGCGTTGCCCGCGGTTATAACAATCTTTCTCATTCTTTCATCATCTCATCAATTCTTTCTTAAATGTAATCTTTATTTAAGGTACGTAATCAAGCATCGAGGTACAATTTCATTTATTAAACACAATTTAATTAATTATAGGTTTTGGAAACTGAATTTCGGGAAAAGCAATACTCGATTCTTGAACTATTTATAATATGTACCTACAAATTTGTACGGAGCCATCGGTGCATTTATAGCTAATATTTTTTAAAGTTTCACTTTTCTGCACTTCTTATTTAGTACTTTTTTGAAATATGATATGCTTCCAAACGCCATATTTGTTTTAAATGAGGATTTGGTAGATATAAAAAGATATTGCGAACATCACACATGTAGTAACAAATTTATATAAAATACTGAGTTTCTAAAGCTAAGTTTTATCTAAGTTTTAATGAGATGAACGTTTCATAAGTATCTCTTCCTTGTCGAATTATAAAATCTCACCTCCATACGTGTGAAAACGGCATAGCTTCATTGTAAGTAGAAAAGGACTTCTCAATAAATATTGGTATATGGTAAGAACCGACTATGTGAGCCAACTACGCAGGACAACAGCACTGCAAAGAGGAGAAAAACTTGAAACAAACCCTATATCAACCCGTCTACCCAGCGTGGTATAGTAGACCAAACCCTTCTTTCTAAGGAGAGGTCTATATCCAGCAGTGGACTATTAAAGGGTGCGTAGTTACTAAAAAGTACTTTGTCATGTTTTATTATTTACTGTTTTTACAATTTACTCATAAAATATTATGTGAAAAGGAATGTGTCATTGTGCCACAGAACAGTAATTGTTTCTATTTCATAAATAGTACAAATGCAAAAAGTTTGTGTGTGATAATATTATGATATAATTTTATACTGTGATATAATTAAACTTAAGCATAATAATAACTATCGGTAAAATAAAGACGCTAAGAGTGCAATCTGCATGTAATGTGCATTTCAAATGCAGTACCTGGATGACCGAGCTTTGTAGCTTTTTTATGGAAGCTATATATACAAGAATTGCTCGTTTAAAGGTATTTGTTTTGTAATTTAAAAAAACAACTGCGGCATTAGGAACATATCCTGTGTCGCGGGGGACTTTACAAACATATATGAAACGGACACAAAGAACACTCAGACTCAGAACAACAATTTGTGGATCACACAAAGTGTCGTCCCATGTGGGGTTTGAACCCACAACACTCGGCGTAGTAGGAAGCGGCGTGGTGAGAGCTTAAACCACTACGCCATCCGTGACCCATTGTTGATTATTGTTCAGATGCCAAATTTAACAATCTGTTTGTTTGTGGCTTAGGCTTCGATAACCTCGAAGAGTGACGGAATTATTGCTTAACATTGGTTTCCTGTGAGGGCATGGTATCACTCCTGTCGAACCTGACCGTGTTTGCCGAAGCAATGTTCTCCCACGATAAAAATTAAGTCTAGGCAGCTAGGATATCGGATAAGTAGATACTACAATTCTCAGATGGAGACATGGGACCGAGACTAAATCTCTCAAATGACAATAATACACGTAGTTAAATATTGGTGACGGATTAAGAATACGGAGTGTCACCACCCCTATTCATCCCGTGGGTATCGTAAGAGGCGACTAAGGGAGCCAACGTATCACAACCAGCACTGCAAAGAGAAGGAAAACTTGATACAAACCCTATACCGACCCGTGGCCAGCGTGGTATAGTAGGCCAAAACCTCCTTTCTTTCTTTACCTTAATGTGAAAATGAGTTTGTTTGTTTGTATGTTATGTTTCAAGCTTACACCCCTGAACCGATTTTAAGAATTCTTTCACCAAAGCTACATTATCATCTTTTTACATGAATTTTTAATTTACTTTCTCACCTACATGTTATTGTCTATGGAGAGTTAATGGCGGGAAGTTTTGCTCATGAATTTCTTATTATTTTTCGTCGGACGGGAAAACAGTTAACCATTATTTTGTGATTTGTGTACAACTCTGGAAAAAAGTGTACAAGAGAATATTTTTATCCAGAAAATGTACTATAGTTAATGAAGTTCTGACATAAAGTGTACTGTTTTTAGTTAGTCGTATATTTTAAAAATATCTCATGTTACGCTGTTTGTGATCGGACTGCACAGAAACGGCTCGACCGGTATTATTGATTCTTTTTTTTTGTAAATTGAATAGGTATGAGAAGAGGTAGTAAAATATTTTTCACCATCCTACCCCTATCTCCCATTTATTAAATATGGCAGAACAACGTTTGCTGGGTCAGCTAGT